TTTTTACCAAATATACGCTAAGTAGGTAATCTAAGAGATTTTCAAAGGAAAATCAAGGTGTAGTGTGAGATTCTGAATTTATATATCATATGAGTACCAATGAATTTATATATAATATAAATTTCATTGGTTTAAATCTTTGATAATATTATTATAATGAGCAATTTTTTTCTTCCGTCTTCTACCTTTCTTATTAAGTCTCTTTATCTTCATGGACTGTTTTTGACATTTGTCCTTTTTATTTATCATTTCAAATGAGTGTACCTGAAATCAAATAAAATAAGATATAAGTATAAAGTAACATAAAAGACAAGCACGAGGTATCCCCCACCCAGTCCCAATTCAGTCGATGAGATCTTATAAGTGAGATCGAATTCGCAAATAATGATAGCTATTTATACTGATAAATCTGTCATAGCGGAAATAGTAGCGGCTAAATCTGGCACGGCGGAGGTGCTAGCAGCTAAATCTGGCGCAGCGAAGGTGTTCGCAGTAAAATCTGGTGATTTGCTAGTGACTAAATCTAGCATAGAAGATATGCTAGTGGCCAAATCTATGCCATTCCTTAGGCACACAAAAATAACAAAAAGGCTCAACCTGAAAACCACTCTTTTTTTACTAACATAAATATTAATAAAACTAGAAAAGTAAATACTAAAACAAATTATGACTCTTCAAAAATAGTAGGGTTATCCTGCTGTTTTAATTAGAAAAAAATACCATAATAGGAGCACCACATAAAGATAGTGATTGTGAGTTTGTTTGATTTTGATAATTTTCAATTAAAGTGCCATACATGTTTGATTTAATCGCAGGCAGTAAACAAACAATAAAATGATTAGTATTTTTAATGTTTCTTGATTTTATTAATATGATTTTTATGAATCTTAAGACCACACTCGTACACATTCTTTACATCACTATTTGTGTCCATTATACAAGGTGGAACAAAACAATTGACATTCTTTTAAACCACATATTCAGTTCATGATTCTGGACCCTCCTGCGGTAAAATTTACTGTCAATTATTTAAAAAAAAAATCTGATGTCCTAAAAAAGTGCAATACTACGCAGTCAAAATGTATGGAATATAATTTTTTTTTAATAACCGACAAAATATTTCAACGCAAAATTTCAAAATAAGAATAGAAGGGGAGTTGATCGAGCAAGTAGATGAGTTTGTATATTTGGGCTGCGTATTTAGCAGGGATGGGAGATATGATAAGGATATAGAACGACGAGTGAATGCGGGAAATAGAGTAAATGGGGCCCTGCACTCTATTGTGAAGAGTCAAAATGTGTCGAAAAAGGCACGTATGGCAATTCACAATGCTGTGTTGGTCCCTACTTTAACGTATGGTAGTGAAAGTTGGGTGTGGCAGAAGAAGCACGAGAGTAGAATGAACGCAGTAGAAATGCGGTCGTTAAGGAGTATGATAGGGCTGAATCTTAATGACAGGGTAAGAAATTGTGTAATAAGAGAAGAGTGTGGTTTGCAAGATGATGTTGTGACCAGGATTAAGAAAGGAATGCTTCGGTGGTTTGGTCATGTGGAAAGAATGAATGAGGAAAGAGTGACAAAGAAAATTTATGTTGCAGAAGTGTATGGCAGAGTCGGAAAGGGGCGTCCTAGGCGAAAATTTATCGACCAAATCGGCGATTTATTGAAAACGGGCCAAATTAGGAGTACCCTTAACCGACGAGCATGTATGCGGAGGTGTATGGATGTGAAGGAGGCGAGAGAGGTGTGTCAGGATCGTGCCAAATGGAAGTCTATAGTCTCTGCCTACCCCTCTGGGTGACAGGCGTGAGTGTTTATGTTATGTTATGTTATGTTTATTTCAACGCAGTAGGGTCCAGTCATGTACGGACTATGTGGTTAATCAATGTCAACACCTTTCAATTTATCAGCCACCACGCAATCATGCATGTAACACTACTTACAATAAGGTTCGTGAAGGTAAAGCATCGTCACGCCATGTATACTTTATTCAGTGTCCGGTTGAAACATGATTCATAAAAGTAAAGAGAACAAGTAATTGTGTTTGTTGACATCTTTAAACCAAATTATCTTTGTCCTTTATTAGCAGGTAGCCTTGAAAGTAAAACATAAAACCAATAAAGAACCATAAAATAGCAATATCAATAAATATAAATATGTCTAAATGCATTACTCAATTCGTTTCAAAAAAATGAAAATGATTTCATGAAGGACAACTGTTGAAAATAAAAGCATAAGGGAAATAATTAATGTTTCACTATTGAAAGTCTTCAACGAATGCAGAATCTTTTATTTTTTTATCTAATTCTAAAGATGTTTCAGTTAAATTAAGTACGTACTCCAATGTTATGTTTGGGTGATTTCTGAGTCTTTTGATGCCACATCCGATTATATTGCAATTGGGTAGTTTGCTATTGACGATTACTACTATTGAACCGAGTTCAAACGCAATAACACAGTAAATTACTACAAAATTCACAAATTACACCAACCGCACAAGAGTATTTGACAGTTGACGTAACAACTTTGGTACTAACAAGCGAGAGGATAAAATGGCGACCCGGCAGCAAATAGGTTTTTCAATGAGGCTAGAATGAAGGATTGCGATTATAGTAGCTGTTAAAAACACTATCAACCTTTTTCACTTACATAATACTAAGAAGGTTAAAAAGAGATGCCAGTATTATTATTATTACAGCGTCGAATAGCCTTATATTTGTATAACTGTTTTTTCTATAGTTAAACATTTAAAGTCCATATTTTTATCACGTATATGGCTATGCTTTAGCACGTAGCGATCGATCTCCTGTTCTCTAAAACCTTCATGGTCTTGGCCTTATACAAAAGTACTCTATGGTCTTGGCTGTCTTGGTCTTGGACTTTCAGGTATTCAAAAACTCGTAGACAGAGAATGCTGCCTCTGTCTATGCAAAAAGTACTCTGTGGACTTATTATTACAATATTACAAAGGTTTTTTGGCGGGAACTTGGCCGTAGACGGATTGTCGCTCCTGTTTTGTCGCTTGAATAATCGTTTGAAGTGGATTTTGATTCATAAAAGGGATGCAATTTTGTGAATTTATTGTCCGCACGTATGACCTATTAGAGAAAACGACGAAACAAGCGCTTTGATGTCTATATAAACCTCAAGTTATTTTGATCGCTTGGGCGCCTTAAGAACTTGAGTGGCTGTCGTCATCAATTGTCTGCTAGGTTGAGCTGTCGTTAAAATCTCCCAAGGGCTTCGTAATGTGACGCATCCACTGATAATGTAGTGTATATTAAGGTAGATGAGGCATATGCTTACGGAAAATGTTGAACTCAAATTCACACAATTGTAAGAATTCTATTTAGTAGCGCGGAAACCGCGATCTGGATCATACGTGCTAGCGCAAAAAATGTTTTTGAAATGCTGAGTTGTATGATGCGGAAGTGTAAAAATTATTATTCTAAAATAAAAAAGACAAAGGAGTTTGTTCAAAATTATCATACATTTAGATCATTTTACATTAAATTTAAAAATTATAACGTTTTCTAGAAAAAAAATCTACTTTGTTGTAAATACAGGACAGAGTATACAATTTTAACTGAGTGTAAAAGGGATAGCATTAACCTGAACATCATAACATCTTTAAGTGTCAACTATCTCTTTCCCATGCGTACAATCCGTACACTCCTTCGCAGTCGTTTGAAAAAACTACGTGTATCGATGTAATAAGTATGTATACGTCAAAACAGAACAAGAAAAAAGACGTGAACTATCAGCATGCTTCATCTACCTTCTTTACAATATACACTATCATTGGACGCATCAGCATATTGTGACGAAAAAAGAATAAAAAATGAAGATTACGAAAGAAATGATGTGCTTAGAAGGGCTAGAACCCAGAGTCCAGAGGTTTCTCTGTCTACCTTTAAAGCCGTAAACGTAGACAGAGAAACCTATAGACAAATTGACGCCTTCTTTCGCATTTGCACACAAAAAAAGATAGATTTATGCATACTTCTTGCACAGAAATGAGAAAGAGCGGTGTGATTGTTTGTCCCTTTTCCGTGCCGGTTTTTTTTTGTTCAGCAAACTCTACAGTTTGCTAAACAACTTTGACAGCGTAGCGATTTAAGGAGTTTACAAGTTGGTTTAAGTGAGAAAAAAAGTATTTTGTGAGCTTAAGATTGGTGAATCTTGTTCAGTTCAGTTCTTAGACTAATTAAATTTTTTATCTAAATGTGTTTAAAACTCATAAAGATTATTGTATAACATAAAAATTCGTTATCGTCTTTTCTCACTCGAGGCCACACTAATCATTAGTCTATAGGTTTCTCTGTCTATGTTATTCTATAACCTAAAAATTCGTTATCGTTCTTTCTCACTCGAGGCCACGTCGGTCATTAGTCACTGGGTGCGTTCGGCAGAAAAAAGCGCTAGCAAGCGCTTGTAAGTAAAATGGCGATCGTAATCGGTAAGCACTGTCAAATCGTAAGTAGCTATTTTCCTCCAGGACACGATGTTATTTTTAACCGGGGAATCTAACCTAATTTAAATATATGTTTGTAAAGTATGCATTTTAAAAACTTACCAATCATGAGTTTTTAATAGCATGTATATGTTTATTCATGTCATTATATTACTTAAAACTAATATTGCACAAAACAACTTGTAAACTCTACTTCAAAACAAACAAATTAAATAAGCAAAATGGCGGATTGTATCAGCGCTACTGAAGTAGCAATCGTGTCCTGGCCGAAAACTATTTTAGCGCTTATAAGCGCTTGCTAGCGCTTTTTTCTGCCAAACGCACCCACTGACTTAGAAGTATAGGTATTATATCTCTATGTCATTAGTCTATAGGTTTCTCTGTCTACGGCCGTAAAGCATAGAGGAAAGGAAAACATGACGGGAGCACAGAGTACTTTCTAATTGGAAGGGAGGAAAGAGGAAACCAGAGGGAACTGTAAAGTACATTTAAACGAATAAAACGTTTTATTAAATTTGAAAAAGTATGTTTAAAATACATGAGGGTGAAATTATTTTAAAAGAGAAATATGGGTCCTCGTCGAAAGAAGTACTGTATGTTAAGCCGCCAAGTAAGAATTATTTATAAACTCCCTCTGAAATCAGAATCAAGTCGTAGTAACTAATATTTAATTTGTTTTGTAATTCAAGTTTTATTTTAAGTATAATTAAGGTAGTTACAGTAGTAAGCTAATGAATTTAAATGTTTTAGATCAGACTAATATTGTAACGTTAGATGAAAACTACAATAACGTGGCTAGTTGGTTTACCAGAGTTTTTCTACCGCAAGGCTACCCTGATAGCGTTAGCAAAGATTACTTAGCATATCAAGTGTGGGATACTGCACAGGCCTTTTGCAGCACTATAACAGGTAAATTAGTTACTTTAAATATGTTAAGCAATTATATGAAAACAGATACAACTTTTTTATGTTTTGATAAAAAAACTACCTACCTAAATACCTTATTTCTAACTTTCTAAGAACAAATGAATAAATAATTACCACAAAATAGTTTCTGAATTCGGAGCTAAAACACAGCATAGAGATGAATTACAACCCCACACTTTTTAGCTATTTGCTGTCAGGTTTCTCTTTTTACCCGACTGTCAGGGAAGGGTTTTTCGCGCGATCTTGTATGTTTGTAAATTTCTTTATTACTTCGTATCTTCAAACCGGCTGGATGGATTTCGACAATTAAGGTATCATTTTTATAACCTAAGTGTTCTTAGATAGCCTTTTTTTTAAATAAACAAAATGGCGGATTTTTGGCGCAAAATAGTATTACCTACTTTATTAAAAAAAATAACCAAACCTATCGAATAGGATATCAAAATAAAGGAATTTAAAAGGGGATTACAAAAATATATACAAGTTGTATATTTAAATTTAAGTATGTTTGTAAATTTCTTCATTACCTCGTATCTATCTTCCAAACGACTGAATGGATTTCAACAATTATGTTATCGTTTGATTCGTCTTAAAAACCCAAGTGATCTTAGATTGCTTAGATAATAGTAATATGCTAATTAAAAAAAAATAACCAAACCTATCGAATATAGAATGTAAGTTGTATGGTTAAATTTAATTAGGAATTACAAATTTGTTTATAAAGTTTTTAATAACTGCTTTATAAAATATGCAATGTTTGTGTCAGACCTCGTGCTATTGTATGAAAAAAAGAATAGTTATTAATATCTGTCACCCAATAACATTTATAACAAAACAAATACTTACTTAAATTGTTTTCAATAAATTTTGAACTGTATACTTTGAAGTTTTGAAGAAAAATTTAATAAATAAACACCATTTATTTTAGTAAATATACATTGACCTTTTTAAGCCGCATAGTTATTGAAAAATTGTCAAAAATCTTTACACAAAAGACTGGCACACTAAAAAGTCTTAAATAAAATAAATAATTTAAAAAATCAAAAACCCGACTGCAAAAAAGACAATTTAAAAGTAATTCACTAAAAAGATCAAAACAAGATTGAGAATACAAAACAAAATTAAAATAAACTTATTTTGTATTTATATTTATAAAGGAATTTATTGACTCAAACAATTTTCTTTGCATATGTGGGAGGATATATAAGTCCCTTTTACCATATGATTCAAAACACCAATTAATTTTACCTAAAAACATCCGTTAATGATTCTAATTATTAATTACACTCACATATCTCTTACATGCCAGTGAGCAAAGTATCCAATACATAATTCTACATAAATATTATATCTTATCTGGTTGTGAAGTCATACGGCAATGTATTCATCGCTGCATCTGTTGTTTCCGGCACGTCCCGTGCGCCGCAGCCCAGCGTGGGTCCATTTCCTGCCGAATGTTTGCGACCCGAACGTCCCTTTCTTAAAACTGCCGTAGATTTCACTAGTACTTTCTACATCCGAGCTAACAATGTATGAAAGGCAAAAATAGTAAAATGTTACATCTGTGTATTTGTATGTATGTGTGTCAAGGCCATACACCTCGAGATAGTTTCAGAACTTACAACAGATGGTTTCTTAGCGGCACTATGACGCTTCACATCACACCGAGGTCTATGCAAGGATATTTATTCTGACTGCGGTAAGAATTTCATCGGCTGTGACAGACACCTAAAAGATTTGTAAGCCTTCCTTCGGAATTACACTGTACAAGTTGCGCTCCAGAACAATACTCTTGAGGAAGGAATAACATGGCATTTTCAATCATTATTATATATTAGTACATATGTTATTAGTATGCGAGTCATTTTGGTGGCCTTATTGAAGCGGGTGTCAAAAGTTTTAAAGACCATTTTCATCGGGTAGTAGGTCCTCTTATTCTAACCTGTGACGAGATGCAGACCCTATTGTGTCTAATATGTGGCAGTGCTAAACTCGCGTCCGCTTTGCGTATTGAGCTCCAATGCGCAGGATTCCCTTCTTTTAACTCTGTCTCACTTTCTGATAGGTGAACTGATAATGGCTACCCCTGATATTTCGATCCCCGTTATGTATTATGAGATCAATTGCTAATATAATTTGTAATATGATGATAGTGCTTATTACAGCACCAATAATTTGGTATTTTTTTTGCATTAAATGCAAATAAAGCAAATGTCTTAGCGATGTTCAGAGCAAGCGGGCAGAAGGAATTTTTTGCCAAAAGTTTTTAATTTTTTGTCCTGTTTTCTAGGACACCGTGCACATCTTGCTTCTTTCTGCAACTTTCCATGGGGCTTACCTTCAGGAGGGCCCTGGGTACTATTTTGAATATTGTATAAAGTGACTCCTAATTCTCGCGGCAAATTTGTAGTTAAATGATCCATCATGTGCGGTAGCGCCAATTGTAAACCTAATTTATTTAAACAACTGCTTCGGAACATGTTGGCAGGAGTGTTCTAATGTTTAGCATCAATATGAAGCAACATAGAATTGACACCAGACCGATCCAGCATACTGTAGAGTTATCGAAGCGGCCTACGTCTGGTATTGCTAGCCGAACTATACATATACACTATTTTGTTGAAAGTATCGACTCCACATACAAAGTTACAAACTTGCAAATAGTTTCGATACTGTTCATCCGAAATCGAAACCGTTTTCACCTCAGAAACAAAACATTTAGCAGCAACAGGGGTGATGAGTCACCCCACCAATGTCAATATAACAAAAATAATAACTTACTGTGACATGTTGACGTATGTAACTGATTGCATTCACTCCAATTGAAGAATAGATCGAGCATTAGAAAGAGACAAAAACAGCACCAACAAAATATTTAAACTTTTTCGAGTAGTGGGGTGACGGGTCACTCCTGTTGCCTTCTTAAGGTTAATACAACAATTGGTTCAACATTTCTGAAAAAAAATGGAGCTTAGAGTATTTGCATGAAGTTCAGCAACATGGCAAAAGGTTACAAATCTTGGAAATCTGGTCTGTGAAGGTATGATTGTGGCAGTATGCGATGAAAACCTCCCCCCTTTACAATGGCGATTTACGCGTGGACACTGCCTACATCCAGACTTCTAATTGAATTCCGCGTGTTGTAATCTATGAACATACATACCCGGAACAATTACTTGTAAGCCATACAAATACTTGTTACGTGCGGGATTCGAACCCGCGGCCCTCAGCGCTAAAACTCTTTGCTAAGCTACTGCGCCACAGAGCCGTCAATGCCGTCGTGCCTGAGTTAGATTAGTGAGTGAGTGAGTTAGAACAAATACCTAAAAATTTAACTAATAATAAAGATGATTTCTGATCGTTTTAAAATAATTCTGGTAAAAATATTTCAATTAAAATATTAAAAAAAGAATTTGAATCTCAATAATAATAATATGGTAAAATTTAGAAAAAAAATATATTCCATTGTTGATAGAGCTTTTTGTTAAATTTTGGATTTACTAAAAGTTATTTATTTTTCTTATTTAAGAGAGACCACATTCACAATCAAGTTTGTTCTTGTGCATCTTGTTGAAGGACATTAAAACTAGATGGATGAAAAAAAACTAACTTATTTCCTTTATTTCACTGGGTCACTGTGATGTAGGCACGCCTGAAACAAGATACTGTCACAGATATCTTGTGCTCTTTGAGACAAACATTTTCCCATGGGTGCTACCTGTAATAGATGTTGAGGAAATTCATCATTAATTTATATGTTATTTAGTATGGCTTATTTCTTTATTAGAATTCTGAATGAATAAAATAAGAATTATTTTATTCATTCAGAATTCTAATAAAGAAAAAAGCCATTATTCTTTATTAATTAAATTTTGAAGTTTATTGGCTTAAGATGGTCTGAAAATGCAGTTACCGATGGTTATATGATGATAAATTATTAAAGGATTATCTACGTATATACATCTTGTAGATTCTTGGATTTACAGTAGCAGTAAGAGGGTTTTTTTTCCTCAAAATCATGTACTGAAATAGTGGCGACAATGGGAGTTACAGGTGGACCTAGCCATTCCATCTGCTTGCTTGTAAAAAAAAAACTCCTACTTCCACAACAGATAGTCAACCAGATGTGAGGCAGTGTTTGAGTATTACTGCATAATTATAATTTACATGTTATTCTATTGGTCTATTAAAGGCTGCATTTCAATTGTTACTAAGAAGCTGCTGCAGTAAGCAGTGTATAACACTATTTATTTTGGTCCATAAATATTAAGTTTATTAATAATGACAAAATAATATATTTAAATACAACCTAAATCTGTATTGTCATTCTCAAGTGACACACACAAACAGACTTCCCAAAATTAAATATTAGGAGAGATATATACATATATCGTTATATAATTTATTGTAATAAATTATTAAATTTTAGGCACTCTGGCAACTCAGGAGGTGTTAAGAGGAGTTGGAGTGGGAGACACAAGTGCCACACCGTTAGCTGCCACTATTACTTGGGTAATAAAAGATGGATGTGGTCATCTGGGAAAAATCCTATTTGCATTTAGTCATGGGTAAAGCTATTTCCTTTTACATGTTATTTTACAATAAAATTAAATTAACCTAACTGATTTCAACTTGAAGGAGCTATTTTTACATAATATTCTGTAGATGACGGCAATTACTTGAGGTAGTTGAAGTTTGTATATAAAATGTTCAAATAAAAATATCTACGTATCTTTGAGCTTTTGTCTTGCGTTTTTATTTGGGCTCTTTTTATAGCTTCCAATACTTTAAAATTATTAGGCAATTGATTTAACGTCGTCATCATCATTAATAATAAAAAAATTATCAAATTAAGTATTTAAAAACCTCACAAAGTTTTGCTGACATTCTTGTTATGCCTGGAATTAATAACAAAAATTACAAGTTTAGAAATTTCCAAGTAGACTGTTTGTCTTGGTAAAACACTCCAGTGGTTGGTATTCCTTTTTTTGGCTTTTTTAAGTTAGTTTTTTTAAACATAGTATTTATATACAGAATATGATAATTGATCCAGCTGTAAGTGTAACGAACTAAATCATTTTACTGAACACACCTTGCGATTTCTCATGGGACCACTTACAATTCTCTGTTATGTAACTTACAGGACATTCTATCGGAAACTAAGATCTTTCCGGCATTTCCCACAGTCACCACTTACAACACTTGCGACATCAAATTATTGATATAATTTTTTTTTATCAATGTAGTGGTGACAAATTAACATAGTCTGAATGATGTCCCTTTACATTTATTCTCAATAAAGACAAACATTAGTTGTCACCCTTAAGATTTAAGATGGAATGTTTTCTTTACCATTAGAAATTATTCTTTATTGGAATAATTTTTTAGTTATAAATTTCCAGCACTTATCTGGATGCATACAGCAAGAAATGGAGGTTGTATGCTGACACACTCAATGATACTGCCATGTGTATAGAAATAGCACTGCCACTGTTCAAAAACTACACAACATTTGCTCTGTGTGTGAGCACTGTTATGAAAGCTATTGTTGGTGTAGCTGGTGAGTGATAGTTGCTTTCAACCTTTATCTTTATAACCTTTGATTGACAAATAAATTTTCCAGATGATAAATGGCTGACAATCACAGGAAAGGCACTTAAAAAACCAAAACTTGTTCTTTTTCTTTCTTTTTGTTTTGCTTTCATATTTTTTACATTGTCATCTGAATCTGAGCTATGTTTAAAATCTCAGGTCTCCAGCTTATCGGGGAGTTAGTTTAAAATCAATTACTAAATTCGAATCAAACAGACATACACAAAAGCGAGTTAATAAAAAAGTGGTAAAAATGTACTCTCTGTAACAAAAAAATTTGTGCACATTTGGGTCTATATTGAGAAGAATGTGTGCTATCTTATTAGGTTTGAAAAGAAGTTCTAAGGACCAAGTTTTAAAGGGCCTCAAAGTTTGCTTACTAGTTATTTTCAAAATTGAACATTATTGAATGTTGTAACAAATAATAATTACTTATATACATACATACATAAATACTCTTGCCTGGCATCCAGAGGGTTAGGCAGAGATTACGCTGTTCTTTCTTCCATCGACACACCTCTGTCGCCTCCTTTACATCCATATACCTACGCATTTATGCTCGTCGGTTAAAGGTACTCTTAATTCGTCCCATTTTCAATATATCCTATTCTTTCGGAATTTCTATTTCATTTAATTCAAACGTCATTCTTATTTGTTCTTTCTTGTTTTTTCCTTTCAACTACTTCTACTCTCTTAATAACATGTCTAAAGACTGCCTTTTTCTATCAATCTCATCATTCATACCGCCAGAATTACCAGTTCGCTAGTAAATCTAGTCATGCTCTCTTCTTTGCTTCAACTTCCATCTGTACATCACCATCCCATCATAAGATATTATTTTTCCTTTCATTCATTTTCTTACTTACACCACAAACTTCAGTAGCTACATCTACCAAACCTTTCTTAACATTATGCCATGCAGTTGCAGCACGCGGGGAGATCTGTTCATGATTTTGCCTTGGCATATGGTCTGACACAACTGGTTACTTCGCCTACGCGGATTCCAGATGTGGGGGATCATGCACCTTCCCTGTTGGACCTTCTACTGACCTCTCGCCCGGACGGATATCAGATTTCCGTCGACGCCCCTTTAGGCTTCTCGGACCATTGTCTTGTCCGGGGTGTGGTGCCACTCACGCTGAAATCGCAGTTGCATTCTGCAGGCTGCCGCCGTGTTTGGCACTATAGGTCAGCCGATTGGGATGGGATGCGGTCTTTCTTTGCATCCTACCCTTGGGGGCGGGTTTGCTTCTCGCCGGACGATCCCAACGTTGTTGCGGATTCTGTCGCTGATGTGGTACTTCAGGGTATGGAACTTTTTATTCCTTACTCTGTGGTGCCCATTGGAGGCAAATCTCAGTCATGGTTTGGTCGCTCCTGTAAAATAGCATCATGCTATAAGCAGGAGTGCTACCAAGCCTGGGCTGACGCATCAGCGTCCCGGGATGTATACACCAGCGCTCTAAAAAAGAAGTATAATTCGGCCTCTAGGTCCTTCAAAAGAGTAATTGCCAAGGCAAAGTCAGAGCACATAGGCAGAATTGTCGAGAAACTAATTCGCCTTCCTTCTGGAACCCGTGCATTCTGGTCTTGCAGGCTGTCCAGGGGAATTTCTGTCAGCCATCTCTTCCATCTCTGCACAGGGAAGACGACTCACTGGCCCATACTGCAAAGGAGAAAGCCGATCTGCTAGGCTCTATCTTTGCGTCTAACTCGACTCTCGATGACGGGGGGAGTACGCCGCCAACCATTCCGCGGTGTGAATGCTCCATGCCGGAAGTGCAGATTGCACAGCGCTCGGTTCACAAAGTACTCCTCTCCCTAGACGTCCACAAGTCGAGTAGGCCTGACGGAATCCCCACAATTGTGCTGAGGACATGTGCTCCAAAGTTGGCACCGGTTTTAACGTGTCTTTTCCGGTACTCCTACTCCCTAGACGTAGTCCCAAAATCATAGAAGACTGCTTTCGTCCACCCGATCCCTAAAAAAGCCGAAATTCGCCAAATTTCGTGAACGCACTACGCGGCAAACGTCCCGATACCATCCACACCATCTGGATGCTTGGCGATCCACCACTGTACGTTTCAAAAGGAGTTTTCTTCCGCGTACAACCTCTCTGTGGAATAGTTTACCACCGGCGATTTTTCCGGACCGATACGACCTGGGGACCTTCAAGAAAAGAGTTTACTTCTTTTTAAAGGGCCGGCAACTCGCCTGCATTTCCCCTGGTGTTACGGTTAATCATGGGCGGCGGTAGTCACTTAACATCAGGTGAGCCGCATGCTCGTTTGCCCCCTCTTCTATATAAAAAATGTAACCACTTATATGTTTGTAGGTGTGCTGCGCACACACACGCATGTATACCTTGTGAGGTTGTACCTATATATTTTGTGGATAAGATTTTTCAGGCAGTCACTAGTTGCCCGCCAACTGTATTGCACGTTCCTCTATAATAAATACCGGGTGGCCCATAAGTCCCTTGAAATGTAAAAAACTAATTAAAAAAAAACTAATGACCTTATGAAAAAGGTTTTTATTTTGTCATAATCCTTATAAAATGGGAATTATTTTTTGAAAATTACATCATCTAAATGTAATCCGTTACGATCGCGGTGTCAGTATCTTTTAATTCCTGTACTATCTGAATCTTGTACGGGTGAAGATGTAAATCTTTCTTTAAAATTCGCTGTAACGATGTTCTGGGTAAGTTTAATGCACTGAAACGCTTACGAGTAGACTGGGTAGGATTTTCACGAATTGAGTGTTTCACTACATCGATGTTTTCTTCCGTCCGTGATGTCCTTGGTCGACCTGACCGTTGTTTATCCAACGTCGAACCACTCTCTTCGAACTTAATAACCCATTTCTTAATCGTTTGAACACTTGGAATGTCTTTAAAGTTGCGTAAATTCTGATATTCTCGAAATTTACGCCGCGCAATGGTAGCCGAATCATTGTTTCCATAAAACTCGCGCACACAAAATGTACGGTCCGCACCGGTGAAACGCTCCAAGGCGACTGAATTCCCAGAAACCGTCGGTACTCCCCCCGTACCGCGCGCGCCACTCATGCGCGCCTTTTGTATTTTATTCGAAATTTACATTTCTAACGACTTATGGGCCACCTGTATTAACAAAAGTTATTTCATCTTTCATTATGTTCACCAATAGGGACCTCTATGGAGTCAGCTCCTAAATATTCTCTTATTTATCATTACCGCTATTACAACCCAGCACAAGTCCACTGCTAAATCAATTCACCTTCCTTATGGTGGGTCAACGCTAGACGAGCCGAGCACGAGCAGAGCGTGAGCCGAGCACAAATTCGTGTAGTGTGGACCGACTTACAAGCCTAGAACGAGCGCGCTTCGAGCGTTTGGTTCGTGCTCGACTGTGCTCCGCCTATTGTCGGTTTTTTGACGAATACAAAGGGATTTGCATCGCATGCATCGATTTGCATGTTGTAGGCTCGTTGTACGTCCACACTTTACACCGCAAGAGACCCACCTATAGATTACGGATAACTATGGTCCTAAACCACCTGTATTAATTAACAACTTTTTGACGGCCTCGTTGGCGTAGCTAACTGGCTGGTGTAGTAAACTTGATTGCCGATCTTGAGATCAGTTACTGGGTTTTTCTGTCAAGAAATTCTTAGTAGTAACCCGGAGTCAACAAGTGGGTGGTGGTCACCACTGTGCCTCGGAAAACACACGTAAAGCCCTTGATCCTGCGCCTGATCTCTTTCTGGTCGTATCGGATTATCGTCTCATCGGGCTATGAGTCTGAGGAACAATTATCTACTAATCCTACTAATCCTGTTCTGCGCCGTGACCGCAATTCGGGCTGGAGGACGTTCTTATAAAAAAATAATAAACACGAAATTTTTAAATCCTTAGGTGGCGCCACTCGAACGGCGATGACGCAACACCATGCGGTACGTGGCAATTTGGCGGACGTGTCAGCAAAAGACTCAGCTCAAGAGACGGCTGTTAATTTAGTCGCATCCTTCACAGCTCTCTTCATAATTTCCGTTTTTGGGTATTATTTTTTTTTACCTTAAACAATATATTTTTCTAACATTTAAAGGTTCATAGTGATCCGATTTCCACGTTAAAATATTTAGTCTTGATAATATAGGTTTTCATCTATAATGGAAGATACATAGCTATACATTAGTAAGCTCTCTTCTTAGACCTTGACAGCGTAAGTTTACTAGGGAAACGATCGAAAACTTAGTGACCAGCATTATTCTTCTTATAGTAATTCAAACTGTAATTAGATTTCGCTTTTCGCTTACTCTCTATCTCCTATAGAAGTTAGTTTTACGGCACTAGCCATTTCTTGGCAAGTCTTGAACCCACTCTCACTCAGGCTCACTCAGGCTTCTAATAGTTGTAATTGATCAAGCTTGTCTAATCTGTTTACGATTTGATCATAAAATGCCAGTATTAACTACCGATTGGTCACTTCCAACCTTGTCATTCAAACACTGCTGAATGTTACCAACTGTGCAATATACATTTAATCGCGACAATTACACGAACGGTGTCGTAGTACCTACACAAGTGCATACACTAGGCATAGATTTGTCATAGACTAGAAAACAGTAGCACTGATGACCTACGGTGCTACACAACCGAAAACAAATTATTTGTTTTTTTCCTAAATAACTAACAATAAATGTCTGCTTATTTGGTTTTTTACCTTTAAAGAGATGCGAGAGAGAGAGAAAGAGAAAGAGAGAGAGAGAGAGAGAGAAGTCGATGGGTGTATGATCAGGACTTGGGGGAGGTATATGTTCAGCAGTGAACTTATGAGTGACTGTAATGATGATGGTTTTTTTATGTTTTTACTTTTATAACAATATATTTAGAGTTAGTTTATCTTACCTGATGGTGAGTGGTGATGTAATCGAAGATGATAAAGCGTATGGCCTTAGCTTGATAAAATTCTATTCACTCTTGACTTGCTAATATTGCTCCAATTGCGAAAGTTGATCAATTAGTATGCTGTGTTGCTTGCTTTAAATTATATCAGCCGCCATTTTTCTGTTTACAAATTAATAGGGGAAGAAATAATATGTATTTTTAAAGAATAAGGGTGACAAATGTACAGAGTCCATCTGATGGCTTTTTTTAAAGTAGAATAAGGATGAAAAACTAGCGCACAGTCCACCTGGTGGTTAGTAATATACTGTGGCCCATAAACACCTACATCTATCCTCGATTAATATTTACAATACTGAGATGCATTGTCACCCCTGAGGTCTAAAATGCAATGCCTCGTTTTCATTAAAAAAAGGTCTTCAGTTCTCTTCACTCATCATACGGAACGCAAAAGCATTTACTTTTTAACTCGGTATGGTGTTCTGTGAGATGCTCCCCCTATGGAACCGACCCATTGTTACAACCTATAAATAGCTGCAGCATGACTCTACCATATACACATGTTATGCAAATGTGGGCGATGCTTCTTAAAAACTGCTCTGCGAATAATTAATTATTTACCGTTTCTACTTCGTAACATACGCTGCGGCTGCGAAGATTTACTTTTTAATTTTTATAGTTGTGTATTGTTCTTTTTTTTTATGGGGTGGTTGCTATACATCTACATTTATCCTCAATTAAGAATCAAAACATGAAGTTCGTAAGTGCGCGTTATTGTGTACAGACGTGTCATATAGTAATTAAAATAATTAAATATGTATGTGCTTAGCCGTGACCTCGTTATAACAATACCGGAAATAACTGTGTCATACTTTAGTTATATTTGTGTTAGTGATTTTTGTTGAAATGTTTTAGCTTTATCTAGAATAGGTACTAAAATGGAGAACAGTCCCTTCAACCGAGTGCCAGGACCACTCGCACCCCGCCTCCATCAACCCCGCCCATGCAGACACCCACTTCAAGCGAACCAATTAAAATACTTCCAACTCCTAAGTTGCATCATTGGATGAAAAGCATTGACCTGTGCCTTAACGAGGTGTGCTCCATCGCTACAGAGGGAAAACTTAACTCTGATCAAAAAATTGACTACCAATTGTGTTTACCGTGGCTTACTTTGTCGAAAAGTAAGCCACGGTAAATCACAATTGGTAGTCCGGTACATGTCCCTCAAAATGGATGCCACTAAAGCCCAGACCTCAATCGTATCTCTGCAGAAACAACTTGACCTGCCCCAAAAGCTGCAGGAACTCAAGAATAGTATCGAAGAGTCATCAAAACCGGACTCTGGAACCACTTTTGCGGACATGGTCAAAAAAGGTGGCCAAACCCTCATTCGCCCAATCAACCTTAGTACCCTAGCAATTTATCCGAGGGACAAGTCCAAATCCAGTGATGACACGAAGTGCCTCTTACAAAAAATAATATCCCCAGAAGAACTCAAACTACATGTCCGAGGCATGAGGAAGGTCAAAAACGGGGGAAGTTATAATTAGCGCTGAGACAAAAGGAGATATCGACAAATTAAAGAACTCCGAGAAGCTTGTATCTTCTGGCTTACCATGGAAGAACCGACTAAACGACGTCCAAGGATTGCAATTGTTGGTGTCCCTGTAGCCCTCACGGATAAAGAAGTGTTCGAGTGCATTTTCGAACAAAATATTGCCGATAAATTTCCCAATGCCACGCGTGAGTCCTTCCTGGCAACAGTCAAACTGAGCCATAAATCAGGTAAGAAAAACCTTCCTACCTGTAATTACATTGTCGAAGTGTCACCTAGCATCAGGAAGGCCCTTATCAATCAAGGACGAATTTATATTTATATTGGACCTCATGCCCAGTCAGAGACTTTACAATAGTAACAAGATGCTTCAACTGCCAGCAGTTTGGTCATTCAGCCAAATTTTGTCGGGAAAGTAGCCCTACATGTAACTACTGTGGAGAGCTCGGGCATTCCTTTAAGGAATGTAATAACAAAGCGCATGCCCCCGTTTGCGCGACGTGTAAACGTTTTAAAAGAAAATGCGACCACAAAACTGGTGAGGAAAGCTGTCCAGCACGTAAATTCGCAGAGGACAAATATATCAACTCCATAGACTATGAGGGCGCCTAAGAGCGCCGCGTATTATATTATTTACTTAGCTCTTACACTAGTTTTAGCTTATCTTTAAGCTTAAGTATGGCGAATCAATTACTCAATGACCTAGACAACTTTTCTGTGTCTGACGCCAAAACATGTAATGTTGATGACTATAAACACTTCCTTCCACGTCCTGAAAATAAGTTAATCTTACTTACACAAAATATTAGAAGTATAAATCGGAATATAACCGGGTTTGAAGTTTTGTTGCATAGACTGGATATAAAATGTGATATTATTATCCTTACGGAATGTTGGCTGTCAAACCTCCCATCCCACCTACCGATTCTAAATGGCTATTCTTTACACAAAACCGAGAAAAACGTTAATCAAAATGACGGTTTAGTAATCTATGTTAAAAATTAATTTAAAAGTAACTGTCACAGAACCTACATTCCAGGATAGTAATTGCTTAATCATTCGAATTTATTCCGAGACGATTGTTATCGCAGTTTACAGACCTCCTTCACAAAATATTGATAGATTTCTAGAGTCCCTTGATATACCTTAAGCAAATTTAGCACATATAAAAATATAATCCTGACCGGTGACATAAATATTAATATTACCCCTGGGAAAACAGATAACCATGCACATAACTACCTAAATATTTGCTCTTTTCATGGGCTATTACCAACACATTACCACCCTACACATCAAAGCGGTTCTTGTTTAGACCATTTTGTGATTAAATCAAATAACCCTTCTTTAACATTAGTTACTAATTCCTCGCTTACTGATCATCAAGCAATTTTACTAACATTACAATTAGCCTTACCTAGGAAAAACTGCATACGCAACTACACTAAAGTTCATATGACGAACCTTGAAAATGACATTCGCAGCATTAATTTTGACTTTGTTTATTGCTCTGACGATGCAAATACGTCCTTGAGTTACTTTATAAATTCTTTACAATACGCAATAATGAATAATACATCAACAATAAAACTGTCACGTAAGTATTATAATATTAAACCTTGGATAACACCTGGTCTCGTCCGCTGTATAAGAAATAGAGACAAACTTCATTTAAAATCTAAACTTTCTCCTGATAATTTAATACTTTCTGCTACTTATAAAAGATATAGGAATTTTTGCAATAAACTATTAAAAAAACTCAAAATACAATATGATAAAAATGTTTTACAAAAGGCCGGTAAAAACAGTAAACTTGTATGGAAGTTCATTAAAAATAATACCTTCAGTTCAAAAAATCTTGGACCCCCACTTGATCTACTGTCATTAGACAAAAGCCCAAACGAAGCAACTAATAAAGTAAATAATTATTTTATTAACGTTGGCAAAAAAATAGCAGAGACAACTTTAAAATTAAGCAACACTCGTAATCCAATTTTTATGCCCACACCCTTTTCTAAGTTAAATTCTTTTGTATTGTTAAATACCGATATTGATGAGATTTTAAGTATAATATCTGGCTTAAAAGAAGATTGTGCAGTTGGATGGGACAATATACCTAATCGCATAGATTTACACTGGCCGCCCCGTTGCCTGATGGTTTTTCCCGAAAGTGCTAAAAAAGCAGTGGTTTCTCCTATTTACAAAGCTGGTGATAAAAACTTAGTTAGTAACTATAGGCCGATTTCAGTCTTATCTGGCTTATCTAAAATTTTAGAAAAGATCATAAATACCAGATTAATAAAATACCTGGAAACTAACAACTTGCTGTCAGACAGACAATTTGGTTTTAGGCCTAAGAGATCATGCAATGATGCCTTGCACCAATTGACAGATTACGTCACAAGTAATCTAGACAATGGTATGCACTCAATTGGGATCTTTTTAGACCTTGCCAAAGCATTTGATACTATTTCTTGCCCTATACTATTGCAAAAGCTTGAAACACTTGGCATAAGGGGAACTCAACTACAAATTTTTTCTGATTACCTCAGTGATCGCTTTCAATGTGTAAAAATCGGTGAGTATACAAGTAC